TTTCATATGTTCTTTGTTAAATGTGAGACGCTAACAAAACAATAACAAGGCACAAAAGATTAGAGTTTCATTGATTTCGCTATCTTTTATCTATGAAATGTATATTCGTGTATGAACATATTGTATAATTTTATGGACAAGCACGATATTCGACAACTTCGTATCTTCGTACTGTAAGGTAATGATACATTTGCTATTATATAATAATAATAATGCGTATTTTTGAATTTCTTACATATACATTGTACATTACAGCATGAATTTTTTAAGTCTGTTAATATTTTTAAAAAGATAGTATATACATATACATATATTTGTATACATATACAAGAAATATATGTTCAATCAGTATTGTGTTCATACTATAAAGAAATTGCTGATATATTTGTATTCATTTTATATTTTTAATTTTTTACGGATGGCAATTTCATTGCATTCCTGATTAGAGTGGCAGATGGGCGGATGGTTATGTTAATTTATTTATGATTATTCATGATAAGATAATGGTATGACAAATCATGTTATTTCCGCTATCTTTATTCGTTATTATGTATATTATACGAAAAGTCACGTATCAGGTAAAATTAAGGATAAAAGAATTATGTATATAATTTATATGTATACATTATTTCCATGATATTACGCACGTCACGTGTATTTATTTTTATTCGTTGATCTTCATACAGGTACCTACATTTATATGTACATGATACAGATATATAACTAAACAATCCTAATTACAAATTTCGAACATAAAGAAATACATTCTGGTCAAGACGAGATTTGTATTATTATTAGATCAATGCTTAACGAAATGAATCATTTCGGTGTTACTTCATCATTTTAGTCATCGTTATCAGGATATATAATCACCAACTGTAATGTTCTAACTTATAATCTGTAATGATTAGTAATTTAAGTTGTTATTTTATGTTACTTACATTTTACTTAATAAAGCTCTTTCTTTTCCAGTACTCGAAGTAAAATGGTATAAATATTTCAAAAGTGAGGAATTATGAGAGGAGGATTTCACGAGAATTTTTTTTCTTTCCCAAATTCTAATGATCAATGTTTCGATCGTTCGAAATGGAATAAAAGAAGATATATTATATAAAATGATATGATTACTAACGGTAACGAGGTCTACGAGCTTGTTTTTTACCCATACTCGATAGGTCGATAGTTTTACCATCGGGTAGTACCAGTTTGTTCTCTTGGTAATCAACGAAACCGTTCTCGTCTTCTTCTCGTTGTTCCTCGTCGCATTTGATGCCAGTCTCGTACGTATATTCTCGACGAATACCATCGGGATCGATGTAGCCGTATTTACCTCTAGTGATACAATCGACGCCGATTATTTCTTCCTTGTATGATCCGTCGTCGTTCTCGAAACCCCAGGTGATCGAACCGTCCGGATTATCATTGCGATATCTTCTGATAATCTGTTGCAAAACGTATATTTTTCAATATATATATATTACAAGTGGTATAATTATATATATATATATATATATAAATATATAAGTACAAGTACATATACAAGTACAAATATATACTTGTAAATATACAAGTACAAATATATACTTGTAAATATACAAGTACACACACACACACACACACACAC